CGGTTCAACAGATGTCGTTTCATGCTTTATTCTTCATCCTTAATAGATGAACGTTCGTGCTGCTTTTCTACCACTTTGTGACTACTTCGAAATGTTAATGATGTGTTATCCTATTTCATTCTAGGATTATAAGGTGTTTGAAGAATTGGGGAAAGGTGGATTTGCAACAGTTTACAAAGCAATTCGTAAAATGGATAATTTAGAAGTTGCTTGTAAAATGGTGTGTATCTGTTTTTTGGCTATTTTCATTATTTTTCTTTGACATTTGTTCTCTTATTCTCATAGATTGATCGTAAAAAAATTCAAAAATCAAGTTTACAACATCGAACACAAACACGTTGTATAATGCAGGAACGTTTGAAAAGTGAAATAGAAATTCATTCAAGATTAAAACATCCACATATTGTTGATGTAAGTATTTTGACGTAATATTATCTGTTGTCTTATAACAACAAAATGTTGTTGATTTTTTTCTCCATGTTTTAGTTACTTAATTATTTTGAAGATGAAAATTATGTGTATTTAATATTAGAATTATGTCATAAAGGAGATTTAGAAAAATATTTAAAAACAAAAAAGGTTCTCACTGAAAATGAAAGTATGTGTTTTTTCAATCAGTATTTCCTATTCATTTCAAATAAGAATGCGTATTATATAAAAATAGCCAACAATAAGTTATGTCACCTAATATAGGTTGTTACTAAGTTTTTGAATTTTCCTTGAAAAATAATATCGCCACAAGATTCACGAGGGGACCTTTCGAGATGTCCCCTTCCGATTCCAATGATTTGTATATGGATCGATAGACCTCAGTGAGGTAGCAAATACCCTAAAAGGATTCGTACCCATGACTCTTGAAGACCCGATTTTCTGGAAAACCAGTTTTTTAAGAAATCTAAAAAGTAACCCAAATCTCTTTTAATGAGGCATAATTATAGCCCGCAAATTTCTGATTAAAATGAGACATCTCCCAGGTCTACATGATCTTTCTTTACAAAGTTATAGAATTTACAAGAAAAGTCTTAAATTAACTTCTTATTTCTGTAGCTTTGAGCTGACAATGAACATTCAGGCTTTTATTGTAAATTCTATAACTTTGTACAGAAAGGTTGTGTAGAGCTGGGAGATGTCTCATTTTAATCAGAAATTTGCGGGCTATAATATGCCTCATTAAAAGATAGTTTTGATTAATTTTAGATTTTTTGAAAAATTGGTTTTCCAGAAAACCGGATCTTCAAGAGTCATAGCCACGAATCCTCTTAGGGTATTTACTACCTCGCTGAGGTCTATCGATCCATGTACAAATCATTGGAATGGTTTCCCTCATCAGTGTAATCGATAACATGTGTTTCTATAGGTTTTGGAGTTACTCCACACGGTGATAATGCAGGCTGGAGTTTCTAGGAAACCCGTTACCACGCCTAAATAATGCAATAGAAAGGCGTCGTTTGATTCCCCTTTTAAAGAGGACACTTTAGACTATCTATACATATAAAACAATCAATATACTGTTATTTACAATTCTGCCACTATGAACAAGTTTTCCACAAATTCTCTAGAAAAATTGTTTAGAAAAAATAATTTCAAATTTCTTTTAGTCATGAAACCACGATACAAAATCTTGTCTATCGACTAGTGAAAACTGCAACTCTCATACTCTGTTTGTTTTTGAGTTATACGAAAAATAGTGATAAGCATCCTTATTTGAAATAGAAGTGTGCAGGACAGCTGATGTTTGTGCTCTGAGCCCTGACCTATAAAAAATTTTCATGACCTGGATCTGTTCTGCCCTATGACTTCGGTGCCCTTGCCCTGTGTTGTCCTATGAAATTCCATGAATCGTGTTTAGTTTCCAGTATGTAGTTTTGTCAATTCTACCAAAAACACGTATAAAAATATTGCACATTTTTGACTTGCACATCTCTAATTTGAAATAGATAGTAACTTTAAATATTTTCATTGTTTAATGGTTATTTGAAAAGAAATTTATACAATTTTCTTTTTTCCAGCTCGAGTCTACGTTAAACAAGTAATTGAAGGTTTACAATATTTACATGGACATGGAATATTACATCGAGATATTAAATTACAAAATTTATTATTAACAGAAAATTATGACATTGTATGTAATTAGTAGATTATACGAGTTTTACTGTATTAAATAGTAGATGTTCATCTTTAATTAATTCTTTTCTATTTTCTTTTATAGAAAATAGCCGATTTTGGTTTAGCTAAAAAAGTGGAAACACGAGATGAAAAAAATCATACCATGTGTGGAACACCAAATTTTTTATCACCGTAAATATATGTTCAATTGACAGAATATCAATTCATTAAAATTCGATGAATAATAAAATATTCATATATCATGTCATTTTAGTGAAATAGCTATGAGAACTGCACATAGTTTTGAAACTGATGTCTGGTCATTAGGAATATTAATTTCTACATTGCTTACTGGTCGACCACCATTTGATACTGAAAGTATGTTACATCATTACTACTATCTGATTTATATAATAATTTTTGTTTTTTCGGTTTTTTAGATATTTTATCTACGTTAAGTCGTGTAGCTAAAGTTGATTATGAATTACCATCGAGTTTAAGTGAAGAAGCACAAGATTTAATTAATAATATTTTGCAAAAACAACCAGAAAATAGATTAACACTTTCACGTAAGTAGATATGTATATGACTATAAAACTCGTTTTAACGATTATCCTTTTCATTTTAAAGTCTCATTATTTACTCCTTACATGACTAAAGTCATGTATAGAGATATACAATCTTTTCTATATACAAAGAATAGCCTTGACTAGTTCCAGTAATTTGAACATTTTACATAAAATTTATTTCATTATTCGGCAGACATGAAGGTTGTGTGGGTGTATTCAATAAAAAATTGTACACATACCTATACACATAAATAAAAGAAAAAAAAAAAAATAAAAGTTGTTACACTCTGTTCTGATCTCTTCTCTATGACAGAAACCTTTTAAAAACAATTGTGTTAAAAGTAATGATGTGTTGTCATTTGAACAGAATGCGAGAAAAAGAGAGAGCAAAATATTAGTGAAACGTCAAAAAAAGAAATTCATGATTTTAAAATAAGAACAAAAAAAAAAAAAAATTGAATATTTTCTATTCAAGGTTATCATATGCTAACACTTGACTTTTAAACGATTTCTTCACTTGTCTATGAAAGGCTTTTTTTTCTTTATAATGAAAAATTTAAATATAAACTGTTAAACGAAAAATAATGTAATTAACTCATTCTAAGATGGATTAAGTTGCAAAACGTTTAATATTTGTGAGAAAATGTTATTTTAATTGAGTTAATATAAAAAAATAATACACTTATTTCATTCTTTTTCTCTATTTTTTTTTTTTTTTATAGAAGTCAAAGAACATCCATTTTTTTCAAAAGATTATTCCAGACATTCATCATCCTATGAAAGAAGTTACGAAAAATTATTTTCAGTACGTACCTTAAATTAAATTCTTTATTTATTCTAATCTTTTAATCAAATATGTAATTAATTTTTAGACTATGGGTCCAGATGCCTCTGTTGACAGCGGTTTAGGAGCATCATCTGTAAGATCTGGTTATTCACGACCGCACAGTCACCATCCACCATCATCGTATGATAGAAATTATGCAGCTGCACGTTATACGTAAGTAACTAAACAAAAAAAAAAAGAAAAAAAGAATATCCTTTTCAATATTCATATTTTAGATCAAATCCAATATCACCACCATCATCTCAACAATCTTCCTATTTAAGTCGATCAAAAACTCCTCATGATTTGCTCAACAATATTTATCCGACAACTTCCACACCACTCATGTCTTCATCTTCAAATAATATGTATCAAAACTCAATTACACCATCACAACCGCTTAGAGCCGGACGAAGGTATTAGACGTGAGAAAAATAGTCTTAATTATTCATAGTTTACTGTAGTTTGTTTCTCTTTTATTCTAGTCCATCGTTGGATATTCGGCGCAATGATGGTGAATGGACAACAACGAGTAATAATAACACAACAAATGATATGACTCGTCCTGATAGTGCTTCATCTTCACTCGTCTCTCGTGATAGTGGTTTACCTCGTTCTGATTTAAAATCTTCACGTGATTATAGTGCAAAATCGAGTGGAGCTGATTCATCAAAATATTCATCATCTTATCGAAATGGTCTTGCATCATCCAGTCTCTCTTCGGTATCATGTGCGCAAAGTATGCGATCATCAAGAAATAATGTTGCTTCCGATGAGCAACAACAACAACAACAAACCACCATGTCAGAAGCGTTAAGAAGAACAGCAACAGTCAATTTAGATGATTCATGTGAACATCACAATATTCATGAAATTTTACAACAGTTGAGTACACAAAGATTAAGACCATTAAGACAAGCAACGAGATCCGTTATTGTACGTAGAAAAATACATATTATATTTGGTCATAAATAATTAAATATCATCTCATATGATTTTAGATGAGTATATTGGAAAATGGCGAAGTTGTTCTTGAGTCAACCCGAACAAAAGGAACAAAAAAACGTGTTATTGATGTATTTAGAATATCATTAGATGGAAATAAGGTATTATCAACTCGAAATAGTTATTTTTATTATGTAAAAAATAGTTAGCAAAACCAGTAGGGATAGAGAGTAAGTGCAATCGCTTTTGATGAGAAAAAACATGATTTCGACAATGACATACTTTTAATGAAAACTTTCATTTGTATTTGAAACATTCTTATAGTGTCGATCACTAGACACCATAAGACACTATTTTCCATAGATAACAACGGTTTCATTTCTGTTTGTGTATTATTGTCCAATGAATGTTCTTAATACAGAACACATAGGAGTAGTCGTTCCATAGATCTTGAGCTAAACTTCTTTCACATTTTTATTTAATCTAGCTATTAGCTTTCAACAGATCTATGATAATACACTCAGGAATCGTTTTGCATCCATTATACTTCCGTTCTTTCAGACTATCGATTGCGCGATGGTCAATTTAACAGGCAATGTAGAAAGTCAAAAAGACGAAAGGTGGAATATTAGCCGAATAGTTCATCGATATAGGCACAGTAAAGTCTCGATGTTCACCCATGAAATGAAAAATATGAATAAGTTTTGCCTCGCGCGCACTGCCGATAATAGTATGCTAAAGAAATCAAAAGAAAGATAGATACACAGGCCATTTTCGAGTGACAGCTCGTGCGTATGCACTTTTAAGATAGTTCATGCAACAGCATAATTCTAAAGATTCTCACTATTTTTGTTAGAATTTCACTCTTTCTCAGTTGTAAAGCATCTCGTACATCAAACGAGCTTTTTGTTTTAGATCGTAAGCTATGTTCCTAACAGTCGTCATGGTTCTCCGATTGGTGATCATCCACCTCCGTTACCGAAAGATAAAGGTGCTTATCTTGAATATGAGTTTGATAATTTACCATCGGCTTATTGGAAAAAATATCAATATGCACTCAAGTAAGACGTACACAGAGGATGCCTTTTCTCACTCACATTCTTCCTCTTCTTTAGATTTGTTAATCTTGTTCGATCTCGTACTCATAAGGTTGTTTTACATACACCAGAAGCAAAATGTGTGCTCATGGAAACAGCCATTGATTTTGAGGTAAATGATTTATTGTTTGTGAGTAAATCTGTTGATTTGGACAGCTGGCATATGTTAATGTAGCGCTGTTAAAAGTCGTCAAGTGGATAGTATTCGAGATACTGGACGTATATTCCTAGAGAATCATTTTGTACAGCACAATAGTTTCGTTTTTATTTACTTAACATTTATTTATTTCAGGTGAGTTTTGTATGTGGCGTCAAAATAATGATTTATCGTGATGGTTTTAAACTGGATGATCCGCTTAAAATCAAATTATCGAACGGAATAGATGGATCGACGACCATACTTGGTATGCATAAGATAAAATACTCTAAGAAATATTTAATTTGATCACAGTTCGATGTTTTTCTTATAGATTATGAACGGGCTACAACGCCAAATTCATCTGGCATTGGACATTTTGCTCCAGAACTACAAAATATGTTAGAAAGTTCATTCAAAGTATGTAGTCGTAATAATTGTCGTTCAAAATCTGATTATTCATTTTTCTATGATATAATTTTAGTTTTATAATTATTGTTTATCAAAAGAGCGTTTATTAGAAGAGGATCAGCGTCTGTATCCTCAGATCCAAACATTTCCAGTTATTTTTGGAAAAAGATCAAATACATCCCATGACAATAGACCGGGTACGTGAAAGTAATTATCAAAACATACGGTAGTTTACCGGTTATTGAGATTTTACAAGTAGAAAAAATATATATTGTTTGTCGTATACATTTCTCTCTCTTTTGCTTATTTTAGCTTCAGCGTGCTCAATCGGCCGTTCTCTCTCTCAACAATTTGGTTCCTCATCGACTGTTAATGAACTCGGTTTACCTTTAACATCAAATAATGGTGGAGGTGGTGGGACCAGCGGGGTCTCAAACACTTCTTCTAGTCCTACACTTCACTCATCTGGTCACACACTACCCATTCGTCGTACATTTGCAAGTGATTCGGATATTAGACGATCACAAAATATGTCAGTTTCATCTTCGAATCAAATTCTAAATAGTAATTATCCATCTGCATCTATTCAAAATACATCAGGGACACGAACGACACATGCCCTTCTTTATCAGCCACCATATTCAACGGCGGCAACAGATCAACAAACAGCTTTAAAATCGTATAATTATCGAGCTATACCTCTGCAACAACATCAACAATATTCCGTTACTCAACTCCCATCCTCGTCTTCTTCGTCTTCACTCTCACGACTAGGTAAGATGTTGAAAAATTGTATGAAAAAGTCAAAAATAAATCATTTCTACTTGTTAGTTGAAATGTATAATATATTAATAATTTATAAAATCATTTTTCTCAGTACGAAACATAAGTAAACTTCTTCATTCAGGTAATTCAAATTCAAACGGAATTTTTTCTTCGACAACATCCTTCAATTCTACTGCAAGTAGTTCAACAGCAACAACCACAGCTATTCCATTTAAGAAAAATGTTCAAGGTGTCGGTTCTATTTGTCAACAACACAATGGTGATGTAGAAATTCAATTTGTCGATGGTAGTCTAATGAGATTAACTGTAAATTTGGATGAAGAACAAGTGTATACGGATTCAAATGGAAAACGTTACTATTTTGATCGTTTTGGACAACAAGAAATCCCGGATGTTGTTAAACAAAAATTATTTTTGATACAAAAATATAAATTATTTGAGTCATTAACACTGAATAATAATATTAATAATCAAAAATGAATTGTGTTTTTTGTTTGTTTTCCTTTTCACTTTTTTTTTTGTTCATAGGGAAACTCTTATTGATACGTTATTTATATTTGACACTGTTTGTGTATAGGGAAAACGTATTTGTTCTTTTTTCTTCCGCCCAATATGCGCGTGTGTTTGTGTGTGTGTGTGTGTGTGTGTGTGTGTGCGTGTGTGTGTAAAACACACAATTTTATTATTATTTTTTTTGTTTTTCTGTTATTATTATTATTGGTGTTTTCAAAAAACATACCATGAAAAAAAGCAAATGCGCTATTTCCTCTTTTTTTATATCTCTTTTACTTACTACAGTACTTAGTAATGACGTGTGTGATTTATCTCTTTATAAATGTCTATAATTATGTGTGTATGCTATTTTTTTCTTCTTCACGCATATGAAATTTCTATTGTTTTGATATACATGTTTTTGAAAAACAAATTGAATTTAGTAATTTTTAGTAGAAATATTTAAAGAATCATTCACTCAGAATATAAACGGATTACTATTCACTTCTGTAAGAATGTATTATTTCAAAAAATATTTTGAGTACAAAATCTCGTTTTAAATATTCTATCATTCTTAAATCATTTTTTTATTGCTTGTTTTGTTTCGAAGAATATACACTACCAACACTTTTCCAAACTCGCCTTAATTGTTTAAAATTCAAACTTATTAAAATATTTCTTTTTAATGATATAATTTTCATGCAAAAGAAAAAAAAGGTCACTGTTTCAAATGATGACATCTTTCTTTCAGCTCTCTTTTCTATGATGCAAAAAACGTTCAAAGTGAAGATAAATTAGATCAATTATTTGCTTCAAATCGATTAAAACATGTTATTTTGTCCATTTCTGTGACAATCTTTCGTATTTCTATTCTCTTAATATCTCTTTTCTCTAGCCAATTTTTTTTTTTTTTCTAACAAAATTAATAACTATTCAACTTCTTTTGTGCTAATTTTTACAACTTATCAATGTGTGTGTGTATATATTTTTCTAAATTCTATATGTTGTTGTGAATTTCCAAGAAAAAAATTTCACATACATTGTTCTTCTTTTTTTCTACATTTGATTCGATAGATTAGCAGAGTGTTTTTTTTTCGTTTATTTATTTTTATTTTGTTTTTGCCACACATGCATAACATTTTGTGATTCACTGTATCTGTCTTGACGCAAGTAATCTTGATTATATGCAATTTTATCTACCACATTCTCGTTTCTATTTTGTATTTTATTTCATAATTTGAATCTGCTCACAATGAAAAAATCTTTTTTTTGAAAACACATTGATTGAATTTTATCAAAACTTTCTTTACTTTTCGACTCATGAAAATAAATCGTATATCGAGCTTTTTTTAACTAGATTTCTGCATCAAAAACTCGATGTACGATGTTTTTTGTCATGTTTCAATTAGATTGAAAAACTGTGTTTTGTTTTTGGTTTGTTAAACCAACTTCAGTATCTATTTTGCAGTGCTCATTTGCTTTTTATTGTGTTTTTATTCTTACTCAGAACAAATAGATGGTACATTATATATTTTACAGAAAATTAGCAAAGGCATCAACAATTCGAGCGCCTTACATTGTGTGGAATTGAGAGCTTGGGTATAATGTTGCGTTTCCGAGAAATGAGTCCTGATTTTCTCATTCTAACGATTTATAAAGGAATGAACAGCTTATTTACAACAAAAGTTATACACAATAGCGAAAATTAGAGGAAAAAAGTAACAGTTCTAAGTAACAGGTTAGAATAATGCAACATGGTCAAGAAATAAATAAGGTGTGCTGTAGTGATCACGTATAATAATCACAAGTATTATTCATTTATTTTAGATTTTAGTATAAAAAGTAATGGATAATTTAGACATCAAAAGTTAAGCGACGTATACGTTAGTACATGTTTTAACAGTCGCAGAAATAAAAATAGTTACAGCAAATGAAATATGTAAATTACAGCGCCAAAAACTAGCCAGCAAACGAATTCTGTTGACACTAGATAAAAAGCAACACACAACCCAACGATAAACAACACTAAAACGAAAAACGGCTAGAAATAAAAAAAGAATGGTATATGATAGGAAAAACTTTCTACATCCGTCTTTTTCATCTGTTGAAACTTCAATATCTTTAATGGATCGAACTGTTTGAACCTTTTAGGATATAAATAAATTTCTTTCTCTGGATAAGGCTATTCAATATAGCAAGAATCAACTATGCTAGACTTGAAAGCTTGAAAAGATGAGAGAATGAACACCTTGAAGCGATGAAAACGTAGAAAGAGCGACTAACTTTACAAACAACTTCATCATACAGACAAAATCGACGTTATAGTCTACTTCTATATTCTGATACCTTGGTATCTAAGAAAACTTTAAGAAAAATCAACATAAATGTTGGTTCAAGGTTTTTCTAGTGTAGTTAGTTTGTAGAAGTATGACGACTGGTAATCCAGTCTCGCTGTGGAGACAGCATTCGAATTTCGACTCTCAGCTCATTTTTCTCTCATAAAGAATAAACAACGAATCGTCAATCATTTCCTTTCACCTTCTATCTGTTCGTCCATCTTCCAGATCCTCTTTCTGTGTTTGATTGTGAGAAAAATGAGCGGTAAGCGTAAACGACCGTCGGAGGAAGAGAATCTCGCTGAAAACAACTTTGTGGTCGAAAAGATTTTGGACATGAAGACGAAAAGAGGTCAGA